CCGAGCCCCTAATGTGATTTCCCAAGGCCCCACTTGCAGCAGATGTGAAGTTCTCTTGAGTCTGGTACTGTTCAATTTTGGCACAGGGTCACAAAGTCCAGGAGGGAAGATGCAAGTCTACAAATCCAGACACACAAAAATCGAAATCCAGGCACACTCTGGAGTCCATAAATGGTAACCAAGCCAAGGTACGAATCCAGAATCCAACAAGCAATCCCCTCTCCCTTCTAGCACTGATGATGTTCCCTAGTTGAGTCATGAAATGTCTGCAAGAAAACTACCAAGCTCAGAGAGCACCAAGGACCCCACAGTCTCCTCCTCCTCCTTCTCCTCTTTTCTTCCTCCCTCTCCTCCCCCCCCTCCTCCTCCTCCTCCTCAAATCCACTCCTTTCTAGCAACGGGTAATGAGACACCTGCAAGTAAACAACCAATGACCCCACAATCCTCCTCTTCCTCTCTACAAACCCCACTCTCTTGTAGCGGTGATGAGCTAGTTGTGTAATGAAATGTGTGCCAGAAAGCCACCAGGCTCAGAGAGCACCCAGGAGCCAGCAATCCAACACTGAGCGACCAGTTTCCTCTTCCCTCTTGGCAGGATTTACCTGACAGGGCCGGCCCAGCCTCCATCCCCACCTCTGAACTGCAGCTGAGCAGCCCTGTCATACCACTTGCAATCCTGCAGAAACCCAGCAGTTGCTACTTGGATGCTGCTTTCAATGTTTGGTATCGATGAGGCTTATTGCTGTGCAGCCACTGCTTAGACTTCTCCTGAGCCTTCAGACCTTGCCTAATCCAACTCCATCTCTCCCTGCAGTGGAAGTTCTCTCTGTCTTGTGAAATTTAGGAGTTTCCGTTGGTTCTTCTAACTGCCAGTTGGCAATGCTAGTCAGGCCGGAGGACCCCTCCCTCAACACCCATCTATTAACCAATCCTGGTTAAGGAGGAAGAGGATTAATGAAAGAGGAGCGATCAATATCCCAAGCAGGCAGGAGAAGCCGCTGTGTGCCAACCCTTCCTATCATGGATCAATCTATCTGCCCTGAGGACATCATCAAGAACGGCAATGAAAGGCGATCAATATGCAAACAGGTTCTCAGAGCACCAAGGATCCACCAGGAGGTATCAACGCACGGGCCACCAGGGTTTCTCCTGGGTCCTCTGCTCTTCCATGAAGCTTTGAATCCTTGGGTGAGGAGGGGGGTATATTGATCGCATGGGATAACTAATCCTCTGGAAGAAAAAAAACAAAACCCCCAAACTACCTGTGAACAAAGTTAGCACACACCCCTCTTCTTGTAGAATGAAATACTTTGAGAAATATTTCAAAAGGTAGAATATTATATTTTCCTAAAGGAGAAACAGGCTCTTGGAAAACAGCCCCCACCTTTCTTAATAGCCTCAGCAGGACTGGGCCAGCCTCTCTAGAAGACAAGAGACCTTCAGCTCCAGGGTGATGGGATTAAGACCTTCGGGACATAATAGGACCATTTCGCAGAAGACACAGAGTCCACTGCATTGCAATCTCCTAAGGACATTGCGTCACCCATCAAACTTCAACCAAACTTATCTCAGACCAATATGACCCCACGTGGCCCCTTGGGAGTCTGACAACAGCCAACAGAGTACATATTCTTGCAAAAGAACGGGAAGTTCAAGTGCAAAGCCCGAGGAAAGGTCAAAAAGGCACTCTCTCTTAACTCCGTGTGGTCAACTACCCATGATGGCATGTGCTTGGTGGTTCTGTTCACCAATAAACCATCTTTCCAATCGGCCGCCAGCCTTCATTTTGCCTCCAGCGCCTTTTTATTTATTTCTTTATTTTATTTTATTTATTTGTCAATTGTTTACAAGATAATAAGTATAAGTGTATACATAGTTATGAATACATGAAATGGGTACATATAAGAAAAATAAAAGAAACAATTTCTCTCAGCTTGGAACTGAACCAGATGGATATTTCTTCCAGCCCCTCATTACAAGAAGAAATGGGTGGAGGATCATTAAAGGGAGATAGAACTTAGAATTAAGGAGAAATTTGGTGACAGGGAGAACCATTAATTAGTGGAATGACTGCAGAAGTGGTGGGACGCTCCGTTGCCGGAAGATTTTCGGAGGAGATTGGACAGCAATTTGTCTGGAATAGTGTAGGGCCTGCTGCTTGAGCAAGAATTTGGACTAGAAAGTATGTCCCAACAATGAGAACAATTAACCAGTGGAACAGCTTCTCTCCAGATGTTGTAGGTGCTTCATCACTGGAGGTTTTAAAAAAGAGATTGGACGGTCACTTGTCTGAAGTAGTATCGGATGCCTTGCCTGAGTAGAGGCCCTCCAATGTGCCAACTCTGATGTTCTCTATTTTCCCAGGAGGAGGCGAGAAACCTCCATCTTTCGCTGTCTGGAAGGGCTCTTTACCACAGCTGCAAACACAGCTGGACCTGTGTGTTGGAAGAAATATCTGTCTGGTTCAATTCCAAGCAGGGAGAAGGACACTGGAAACACGGAGGCTGATTGGAAAGATGGTTTAGTGGTGAAACAGAAGCACTGGGCATGGAGCTGAGAAGGGTGTTTATACCTTCTCTTGGGCTTTCCACGTCAACGTCCTGTTTCTGTGCAAGAATATGTCTTCTATTGGCTGTTGTAGGAGTCACAGCTGGCTGTGTAGGTTGTCTGAGTCCCGGGCTTGGTTGAAGCTTCCTGGGGGATGCAGTGTCCCCAGCGACCGTGCCATGGGGTGAGCTCGGCTGCTAGATGGGTTGATCCTATTGTGTCCTGGAGGGTCATGTCTGAATCCCATCACCCTGGAGCCAGAGGTCTTTTGTCTTGTAGATAGGCTGACCTGTAGAGTTGTCATTGCAGGAATGTTCCAATCTCGGATGGCAAACCTCAGATAAAGAATGTTTACAAGCAAATACAACTCAGGCAAACAAAGTCTGTAATCTAAAGGAGGATTAGAGAGAGGAAGTAAACATATGTTAGACTTTAACTAGAGATAATTAATTGTGTTAATTACTATTATGCTAAACAGTAACGAAAGTTAAGCAGTAACCAAAGTTAACCAATGTTGGAGGATTACTAAAAATGTGTGTAAATGCAAGACTAGACTCCAATAAAGATCATCATGATTCAGTTGTTCATTATCAAACAACTCGACTGCCTCATCATTACAACACTGACCCAGGCTTGCTTTCCTTCCTTCCTTCCTTCCTTCCTTCCTTCCTTCCTTCCTTCCTTCCTTCCTTCCTTCCTTCTTTCTTTCTTTCTTTCTTTCTTTCTTTCTTTCTTTTTGGTCATTTGGTTTTATTTTTTTTAATTTTTAAAAGAAAACTTTATTAAAGATTAAAAGATAAAAGCACTATGTACAATCCATCAAATACAACTTTATGTTGCAGACAAAATCTATATATACGACGAATACATAATAAATAAACCCATAAAACGTATGTTTCTGATCAACTAAGACAGTGTGATTTTTTTCTTGGTAATAATTTTATTACTATTCCTTTCTTAATTTGATAAACGTTCTTAATTTAACCACTCCATTCATCAAAACCATCTCTCTTAGTTTCCTGTTTTTTTTCTCTTTAATCCACTTAGACCATTTATCCCAAGCTGTAATATATCTTGAGTCTTCCTTATTCCTAAGTTTCTGTGTGAGTGGGTCCATTTCAGCGCAGTCAAGTATTTTCTGAGTAATCAAATTATTTGTTGGCATTTGAACGCCCTTCCAACATTGGGCCAACGCAATTCTTTCCGCTGTGATTATATGGAGAATCAAATATTTCATAATGGGCACCAAATATCTGCTTGGGCCAGGGAGCTGCTTTCTGTCTTTAAAACGTGTTTCCTCTTTTATCACCCAGGGAAATATAATATTCTGCCTTTTTTAATATTTCCTAAAATAATTCATTCTTCTGGGAAAAGGGGGGGGGCTTCCCTCACGTGTGAGCACACCTTGAATGAATCTGAGCAGAAACACCTGGCCAGGTGGTGCCACCTGCTGGCAAAATGAAAGCAGCACTTAAGCGAGCACATCTGGGACATAAAATGGGAGAAATAAAAGTATTTGCTCTGGTTAGATGTATATCACCAGGAATGCATAGACCTACATCACCACCTCCAGGAGTTTGCACTTAGCTCTTCTCTTCACAACAGCCCTGTGAGGGAGGCTGGGCTGAGATAGAAGGCTTCTCTAAAGTCCGCCCAGATACTCCAGATGGGAGACTTGAACTACGCCGATTCCTAACGGTGAGATCACTTACCCAGTGACACAGATGGCCTTCAGAAGTTCTTGGTGTTCCAGTACTGGAGGTTGTAAAGAAGAGACTGGACAGTCACTTGTCTGAAATGGTGTAGGGTCTCCTGCCTGAGAAGGGGGTTGGACTAGAGGACCTCCGGGGTCCCTCCCAGCTCTTTTCTGATTAGCTGAGAGCTCCCAGCCCAGCAGATGGCCTCACCGTTGTGCCTGCCTTCACAAAACCTCCATCCTGCTTTCAATCTCCTTCCCTCCCTGCCTCTCTATGTTCAGGAGAGGAAGTTACTGGTGACTTAGGAACAGGTGGAAGGCCGGGGAGATTTTCCGTGGACAGCTATAATAACATATACTTAAACGTTAAATAGGTTTCAAACAGAGAAATATCTGCATGCATGAGAAGCTCTCAAATATCGAATATTTTTCCAGTCATTCTATTTTCTTTTTCTCTCTTTTTTCCCCCCCTGCTTCTCTTTTATTCCTGTTCTGCTTTAATAAATAAAGGCAGGAAGTTTTCACTAAGTCACCTCATTGCCTCCAGACAGACCATCCATGTGGAGCCATAGCGGAGTCTCTGGGTCCATCCCAGACTTAACTCTGGAGTAAGCCCTTTGTAGGGGCTGAGTTTCAGGGATTTCTGGCTCCGAGAGATGCTTCCCCTGCACATTCTCTCTAGAAAACCACATCGGGGATGATGCGCTGCCCCTCAGACATGGGATGGAGAGGGAAACCCCAAAAGGGGCAGAAAAAGGCACCTGAGACAGGACCAAGGCTTCTATTGCAGAGAAGTAGGGATGAAACCAGGGGAAGGTTTTGGGGGGAGGGTCTCCAGGGTGGTCCAGGGCAGAAGAAGGGTCTTTGGGTCAAGTTCGAACAGTAGTTCCAGTTCGGGTGGGTCTCTTTGTTGATGACCCTGCAAAAACAAATGATCAGGTCTGAGGTTTGTGCCCAGAAGTGAACCCCGTGCTTCTCCCTGCTTAATCTTACAGCCATGGAAACCCAAAGCTGAAATCAGGAGGGGTGTCCTGATTGGGAGAGAAGGGAAGCGATGGGGCAGCAGCCTCCCCCCTGGAGTTCTGGGGCTCCATCATTGGGGGTTTCAAGCAAAGGTGGGAGAAAATTTCTCCAGGGTGCTCTGGGGACTTCCTGCACTTGAAGGAGGATGGACTTGGTGGCCTGCAGCACCTCCTCATTCCAGGAGACTTCAGGGCTGCCACTTGGAGCATGGGCAAGGGCCTATTCACTTGAGCTTTCTAACTCAGGCAGGTAGCATTTCTTAGAGTCAGAAATGTGAGCTTCTCTTTGGCTCTCCAGACAAAGCTCTGGACCTTCCTGTCTCCTGAGCTGGGACCAGTTCTGGTCTGCCCAAAGGATCCACTGGACCAGAGTGGGCAAGGAGTTCTATCCCAGCCTCTGCTTCTCCTGGAAGTCCTGATCACCTGGAGCCTCTGGCTTCCTGACCAGCCTGGCAGGAGAACCGCCTTCTCCAACACTGCCCAGCCAGGAGCTGAACTGGGTGGCCACCATTCTCCCAATGGAGGTTCAGGAGGAGGAGAAGTCAAGAGACAGTGGGAGGGGGCTGTGCAGGGTCAGCCTGGGGGCTTCCACCTAAGGCAGATCAGTACCAGAGGTGGTATTCAGCTGGTTCAGACCGGTTCAGACGTACCGGTAGCAAAAAGTTGGACAGGTTCGGAGAACCAGAAAATACCACCTCTGGCTGGCCCTGCCCACCTGCCCCCACCGTCACCTCTCCTATATCCTCTTGTTTATTAGCCCAGCTGATCTGCATGGAGAGTGGATTGCCTTACCTCAGCTGAGCTAGGAAACAGCACAGCTCCACCAGCGTCGATGCAGAGTATGGTCTCTTAGCCCTGCACATGTGCGCGCAAAGCGAGCTCTCCAAACCAGTAGGCAATTTTTTTGAAACCCACCATGATCGGGACCTGTAAGGAAGGAGGGCCCATCCCAGAAAGTTCTCCTTCAGCATCGTGGCACCTTCCTTTTTTTTCTTACCTAAGTTCCACCTTTGATGGACACGAGGAGAGCCTGGATGACCCCAGAGAAACCTGCATGTGCCCAGACCACGTTGAGGCCTAGGAGACCCCCCACGACTTCTCCTTTGGTTTACTCAAAGTGCACAGGGGACAATGTATGGGACCTACCATGCATCGCATAGACAATGTCCTTGCACTCAGACAGGCAACCGTAAGGGCAACACTTCTCCCCAGGACAATTCCAGTCATGTTGACACTTCTTGAGACAAGGAAGTTGTTGTTGTTGTTGTTGTTGAGGGGCCTGGGGACACACTCCAGGTTTTTCTGCAAAGGAGAAGATCCCAAGGCTGAGAGAATCCTCCAGAATTGCAATCCCAGATCAAGAAAGATTCCAACTCTGGGCCTTTCAGGACCCAAAACATCTCCGTATATCTAGAATGATGCATTCCCAGTTGGAACCAGATCCCACCTCTTTTCCCACAAAGCGGATCCATTTACACCTGGGGTCAACCTCTCAGGACCCTGGGGGGAGGGACACTATAAATGCCCCCCCCCTTCTCTTGACTGGGATCAGGGGGTGGACATGCACAACCCTGGTTTCCATCAAAGAGGAAGGAGGAGTTCCAGGAAGTAAGGGGGAAGAGACTTTCTGTGCTGGTTCTGCAAATTCCCATATCCCCCTTCCCAAATACAGAGGGGAGTAAGACAGGACCCTTCCCACAGCACAGGGTGGACAACCAGAGCGGTCTTCTTTCCTTGGACCTCCTGGAAGTTGCCTGGAGTTTTTAGGCTGAATGGGGACATTGTATTTCTGAGTGGCTCCCTCAGCACAGGCACCTGGGC